GAATACTCGAATATTTATTCGATTCGGTCCAAAGTATAGAACCCAGCCATATTACAGCTTTCTGCATAGTTCGTTCAGCGATTTCATCGCATTGCATTCCAGGGGATATTCCTTACACAACGATCAAACACGTTATACAGAAAAACGACGAAAAGTTTATGCTTTCCTTCGCATTCCTATAGAGGTATGTTTCCGACACTTCACTTTTCCGACCATCGCAGTAGCTTTAACTTTCGCAGGTAGAACGATTTCTCTTTTATGGTTTACTACAATGTATAGATGCATTCTGTTATCTGTTCACATTTCTTCCGATTAGGTTTCTTGTAAGTTTCACAGTGAAGTTTCTTTTTCGAATAACTATGACAATTAACACTTGCAGATGTCTGTGATGGGTTTCTTGTTACGACTGCGGCCTTGGACTTCCGCAGAAACTTGCGACTTTTTCAAAGTTTGGATCATAGTTTTTGGTACTATACTTATGCAACATATAGGTAAATTCCTCTGATTTTTGTCACGACGTTCAACATTTCTGAGCCCTTTTAGACACTTCTGTTGTTTATCATCAAGTTAGAGGCCAAGGAGTTATAAAACTATACATATTCTATAATATGCTTGAAGTAGCAGACAAGCTGTTTAGTAGTTTGGGGCAGGTAAGGAGATCCTTTCTAGGTATCCTTTCTATGTATAAGATAAAATTTGATGTACAGGATATCCTCGATGCGTTGTTTTGGACAGCGAATGAGCCGAAGACGATAAGAACTATAGTAAGGACGGTATTCCACTTTGTGTTCGCTCTTTCTTACGCTACGATACACACGTTTTTGGTTTTACTACAGGTAGACTTCTAGCATACTCATCTATGATACCGAAATAATCTCGATCACTTCGTTCATTTCAGGCTACCACCTTGAACGTGGCTTTCAACTCCCATAACCAAGCCCTCCTGGCTATAATGATGTCTAACAATTTTGTAGAGTTGAAAGGATCAGTGTTCAAAAAGTTTGCCAAAGCAAATCTATTCCAAATGGCTTGCAGGTAGCTGGGTTTTTTGATTCTACTTTCACTATCTTTTTT